CTGAGACTGCGGATTTTTGTGCAATATAACATTTTCTAAACTAATTTATAAAGATAAGAGCAAATGTAGAAATTTATTTGTCCTCTTAAGTATCTTATTGGGTTCAGATTAAAATAGAAAAATCAATGGATCCGATGAAAGTTTTGTCTTCTACTGCATTTCACAGTGCCCTGTGGGCTATAAATGCATAAAATCCGCAGTCTAATCATTACCTTACAAAAATATGTTCTATAAAGAAATGTTTAACAATCTCATGCCGCAGTTTTACCACGCCTTATACACCATTAAGTTTTCATTGTAATACTTTTTTCACATCTACGATAATTTTCAAGATACGCAGAGAAGTAGAACCAAACAGTAACAACAAAAGTAAATTGCCTGACATTTCTATCGAGATCCACTATAATCCTGTGAAGTATAAAAAAATCGGAATTTTCGGGTTACCGAAGTCCCCTTGTTAGATGAACACGATTGTTGCCCATCTGAAACGACACACCACCGTTGAAAGCCAATCATCACGCGCTGTCGTGTGATGGGCAGGGAACGTGTTAAGTAAGACAGAAAAGTCACAACTAACATTCATCTGTTGTAAATTACTCATTGTTATTAAATGTAACAGTTATGTTTAAACTCACAAATTTTATTTTTCAATTATTATTTATTAAAATGTTCGCCAGCTATGACGAAAGATACTTCTGGTTTAATCCTACAGAACGACTAATGATAGTATAGTATACGATACCGGATAATAAAAAACCGGATGCTGACATCAAAGATCTGTTCTCTCCCCAAAAACACAAACATAGACCAATTCTAAGTTGTCTAAATACCCTGAATCATTAATTCTGCTCACAAATTGATAATTATTCGCCAGTTAGAGGCACCAACAACTATCTTGTATATTGACTCGTTCGAAAAAGTCTCCCTGCAGAAAGTAAAACAGCAATTTCTCGGTAGATAAGCATAATTTTTATTATGAGTTCTTCGAAATAATTTTCGTTACGAGAAATCCACCCTTTAGAATTATTATGCAAACTCCGGAAATGCGTTCAGTATTCTTCCTTGGAGATGGCGGAAAAAGTAGCAGTCGAGAAGTTTGGCTTCGCGAGAACTTCGGCTTCATGAGATAAGTAAGTTATACCGCTTGGTTATCCATCAATTAAAAGATTTAAATAATCTGGTTTTCTACGGTTTCCTCAAATTAGAAATGAAGATGGAAAGAAAGGCAATGCGATATAATTTCAGGGATTCAAAACGCGTTTACCGTCACTCTCTCCGCCATCTTAAAAAAGGAGTATCTCTGACGTTTCCAGAGATGAGTGCGACGCAGCGGGGCCAGAAAAATCCCTCGACGGGAAGGGAAAATGACGGATGTTACTATCTCGGTAGTGGGGGAAAGTAGAGTAAGACAATCATAACATAACCACGTCAAATCCAAGCCCAACCAAGTGTCGTAACCAATCGCAACGCTACAGTTGTGACGTCATTACTCTACTCTCCCCCACTACCATGACAATATAGTCTGCCATTTTCCCTCAAAATACGTCAATCTTTGCGGAAACGTTTATAGCCCCTTATAAACTTGTTTTTTTACCCGAAGCTGAGCCTCTGCTTAGCTTCTGTTTACTCTATTTTGATCGATTCCAGAGAGGGACTCCCCCACCCCAGTGGTGAAAATAACGCCGTTGGTCGTATCGCATTCATCGAAAAATCACTGTAGTGTATTTCTGCAAAAAGAAATAGTTTTACGTAATTGATAAGTTACAAACGTTAACAACCTACGAAAAATGTGTCTTTTAACCTAAATTTAGAAACTTCCGGATCAAACCGTATACAATTAAAAATCTCATTGTCAGTTCGGAATAAATTAATTCTCTATAATTCAAGTGGTCCGATTTAGCAATATTAATACATTCCGATGTGAATTATTTCTTTCAAATGTAAAAAAAATATTTTTACGCATGTAGTTATTTTTTGCATGTCAGAACAACAAGAAAGTTAAAAAACTAAAAAACTTGTTTGTAAACAAAAACGAATATTCATTAATACGTTCACTGCCACAATGAAAGAGGTCGTACGTAGCCAGACAAACTTTATTTCAATTTTTAAGTTATACATCGTCGAAAGTATATGCGTTTAGTTAATACAGATTGTTGGTTTTGTTTTAAATTACACTGTGATATTAATTTTACTGAAAATTTTGTAATGGTATTTATATAATCCAGTCGTCTTTGCAATGTACGCGTCATCGATATTTTTGAGTGACGTGGCAGTCAATCTGTTAAACAATTCCTAAATATTATTTTCAAGAATGTATCCATCTGGCGGCCAAAAACTGAACTATAGGATATGACGCCATATTGAATCTTCAGACTCGTAACATGAATTACAAATGCTAAGGAAGTTAATGATTCCAAATGGAATCCTACGGTTGAAAAGGGTTAAATCTGTACAACAGACGTGACCTAACACGCATAAGTGTTGGGTGAGTGCTCTCGACAATATTCAGCGAAATGTCACTCGCACTTCAATTGTAAGATGAAGTTGCCCAAAGGAAAGAAAAATGAATTCACACCGCGCAACTGGTTAATAAACTTTATTATAAAGTGAGTGTGTCAACTAGAAAATGTTCGAGAGAATCTTATCGATCTTATACGTCCGGTGGTTGACGTGAATCTCCCGTTCACGACGCAGGAAAATTCGCTCCACCCGATGAAAACTAAAAAGTGGGGCATTGGGCCCTACCAACGCAAATGCTAGGGCGCTTTCCCAGCCCACGCAACGCCTACAAACCCAAAAGAGGGGATGCGCCAGACAACGTGGAGTCAGAGGAATAACAAGGGTAGCGCCAGGATGGCTACACAGAAGACCCTTGTTCCCAAATATCGAACTCCGGGCCTTGCGCAATGCGTCGGCTAGGTTTACGCTTCGTCAAGTGCCTTCGATAGCGGTACGGTCAGGTCAACTTTCCCAGGAAGTCTCCTGCCGTACTTGAGTCCTAAACAATAAATTTAAGAAAAAGGCACCAGTCGACTCTCAAAATGACATTTCTTAATTTACCGTAACATAAATTAAATTACGATGGCCTTAACATAAGCTCGTCTCAACAAGTGTCATCCACACACGCATGAATATTCTCAAACTTTCACGAAAAATGTACAACAAGAGACTTTGAATGGAAGGAAAATGTTCATTGCTATCGGGAGTTTGGTATCGCGGTCGAAGCTCGCGAAGGGTTCACGTGACAAAAGTGATTTTAAAAGTTTCGAACGTATCACTTGTACCGCCCTCTATCCCGCGGTATCTACTACGCTCGTCCGGGTTTCATTAAGCGGTTAAACCCGTGTTTCCCTTTTTTTTTCTTTCTTTCTTTTTTTTTTTTTTTGCTTTCCGACCCGCTTTGAACGCGCATCCGGTATGGGCAATATCAAGGGATCCAAGTTCTTCTGAAGAAGTTACCGTGGGTTCGAGGGCGCTCAAATTTATTATTGGAAAAATGAAAGTATTAAAAGTTACCGTACGAGCCTTGGTATTCGCGACGATATTGGAATTTACGTTAGAAAAATTTGGACCGACAGGATGAAAAGGAGACGATACGCGTCCTTCTCGTGGGCCGACGGATACCTTCGTCTTTAATTAATTCGTTACGTTCTGTAAAGTATCGGGGGAGATTCGGATGGAGAATTAGCCGATTCCAGGAGCGTCCGGGAATAGATCGAATCGCTGAAGTTCACGGAATGTTCCCAGGAATTCTGTGTCCGATTATTCTTCGTCCCGATACAGAAAAACTTGCACGGAACGCGTCCGAAGTTACGACCGTCCCGGCAGTTGCGCCTTGTTTAATTTCTGTTTGTACTTCTCTCCGCGGGATTTAAGAACGCTGCGATCTCAGGTAGAACTTTCCCGAAGATGTTCGAACATGATAAACTTTGGAATTAAGTTGGAAGCCATGGCACTCTGTTATATAGGAATGATTCGATGTGTGGTCCTCCTGTTGAGATTGAGGATGGATCACGAGGTAAAATCTTCCTTGTAAACCATGTAAAGTTTCAAAATTGAATTTTACTTATGCAGAAAAATAATTCCGTAAAAAAGCACAAAGTTGATCACATAATTTAAAGAGGATATTAATTAGATGTCTCAATTGTTAAAGAATTTTGAAGACCATACAAAAGAAGAACATTATAGAAAGATTTCGAATGTCTATACAGATTCATATGTTTCTACAGTAGTTTTCGAAAACAGATATTGAACTTATTTGTGTAGTTACAGGTTTTATTCGGTTAAAAGTGATATTGAATCTTCGTTGATATCTATATAAGATTTTATTTTGGTCTAGTAAATAATAATAATTAGACTGTCGATGTTATGTATGTATATCATATACAAATATGTGAGATATAGTAAACAACTAAAATTCCATTCAGTTTAATAAATTTTATATTTTATTTTTAACCCACTGAAGTCCATAACAGAACAAAAAAGTTCCTATTTTTACTCCTGTCTTTATAGATCACTTGAAAAATTATATTTTGCATAATGATTCGCAGTCTAATATTAATAATAATAATAATATAATCATCATTATACAATACAAGGTACTGTATAAGGGAAGGTTGCCGAATTTAGACCATCACCTAGGTGGGACCATTACTGTAGTGACAAGTTTATCATGTGTAGGAAATTTGCGCCGTTTGACAGACAATACGCGTTGTTCGTACTAAGTTATTTAATGCAATTACAAGTTACAGTAGTGGTCCAACCAACATACTGTCCTGTAGATATTCACCCTCCTATTGTATAAAATCCGAGCTTCAACAAGTACTGCAAATATTTTAAATTACATAAATACAAGATATAATACACTAAAAAACTCAACAACGCATCGCTATAAATTGCCGTTCATACAGATACGATCTACACAATTGAACAAGTATTCGATGAAGATTGACCAAGACCAGAATAACGTTTCCTCATAGAGCATAATCCGTCTGTTCCAGATTAAAAGTCGAGAATCTCGGCGGCGCATGGTGTCCCAAGAATCAGATCACCCAGGAGGCCCGAGAATGGTTGGAGATCGACCTTCATACGGTTCATTTGATCACGGGTACCGCTACTCAAGGCCGCTTTGGGAACGGGTTGGGTGTTGAGTATGCAGAGGCGTATCTGCTCGAGTATTGGCGACCACGGCTGGGCAAGTGGGTTCGATATAGAGATGTCAAAGAGAAAGAGGTTAGTATCGACATCACCTGCTCCATTAACTAATTCATCGTGATTCTTCTAGAATCTCCGAAGATCCTCTCTAAAGAAAGGATGCTAGATCCTCTGGCATCTCTTGGCTAATACTAGACAATACTCCTCACTGCTAACATATCTCAGTCTGATTTTTTTAGCCTGTAATCTGATACTTTGGTGTGTCAAGGGCGTACTGCCCAAAGACGAAAGAGTCTATAATTGGTTACTAGAATGACACCATCCGTGATACAAAGCTTTAAAACTTTATTTAACGCCCGTAAGTTGAATGTTGTTCAGAACACTCGGCACATTCTTCTGAATAGCATTGACTCCTTTTTGTTGATCAAAAACGGGGCTGTTGAGATTAACTACCTGCCTTTATTCTGTGGATTAGGCCCTCAAATTTCATACTGTTCCCCAATCTGAGAAAACACCATGGCAGATTGAAAAATAATAATTTTCAAGACGTTGAGGACATTCAGAAATATATATCAAGTGTTCTGAAGAGCATTCTAACTATACTAGCAGCCAAAAGTATGGGACGGGGTCTTATAGTTAAAGAAAGAGAAAAATATTATTCTAAACAAATTTGATAAGAGTAATGTGCTAAAACTGGCTGCAAATGCTGTATATATGTACTGATTCTGTAACTCTTATTCTATCCCAATAGAAAAATGACTTTTCCATTAATCATGATTCATGAACTCTGGAGCCCATACATTTATACGTTTGGTCGGTAGTATACGTCGTATTTAAAAAAAGTTTGATCGTTTGTAACCCACATGTCTCAACTGTATTGTTGTCACTATAAGTTACTTTGAAAGATAAAATAGAGAAGTCTATGCCATTTTATTGCTGCAAACGAAAAACTTTATTGTCGGACATGTATTATGTACTTTTACCCTAAAAAAAAGTATCTCGTACAACCAGAACAGTCATGAACGGCCCCAAACGATCGAATTACGAATGCGACTTTGAACGCAACCGTCTTTAGGACCGACGATGCTGCAGACCGTTGCCATTTCGCAGAACTCGAAGCAGGGTCGCGATCAAAAGTGCACACGCGAGAGAGATTGATAATGACCGGCTCGAGATAACGTGATTTATGAATGTACCGCCGCCATTCGCGCATCTGCTCCATTGGATGCCCGACCGACACACAGCTACGACCGGAATAGTCGAAACGGCTTTCGAATTGGCCGCAGGCTGGTCATCCGCCTGGAATAATAATTCCATCCCCGATTAAGACGGCGAGATTGTTATTCCCGACGGTGGCTCTTGAAGTATAGAAGCAGAGGGCCAAACGTGGCGTGCGCGCGTGCGGGTTCAAAGCGCGTTCTCCACACGGCGATCAAGAATCGAAGACCAGGCCCGACGGATTATCCCGCTCTAAGCGTAAGCCGCTTATCACGAATCCGTAAACTAATTTCGTATCGGCGATGCGCCACTTTGTCGAGCTCGGAAACAGAACCATTGGGTTCTGCCCTGTTCCCCGAGACTCGCGGACGGTTTCTGCTCTGTGAGACCGGAACTCGTGGGGCATTGACTGAGATTGATTTACCCTTTTAAGGAATTGATGTTTGACTTATTTACGTTGGCACGTTTGGTGTAGCTGATGTAATGTTACGTCTTTTTGGAAGCTATTATCGCATCATCGCGGGAAAAGTGTCAGAAGTGAGACATTTTCAGTTTGCATGAATACAGGGTGCCTTAAAAGTGCCTCTCTTCCGGGAAATGCTGGGGTGATTTGAAACCACTTTTTCCTTAGCGAAAATATTAGGTGCGGCTTCGTTACCGAGATATTAACGAAAAACCCGGACCAATCAGAGCGCGGGTTTGCCGGCCAAGTTCCCGCGCTAGCGGTGGCTACGCGCTACGCTTGTACTATGACGCTCCGAACAAGCAAGTTGGCATGCATCCCAGGAAACCGCGTATAATAGCAAATAAGAAAAACATAACAAATCGAACTTTTTATCATCTTTCGTTTGTCATTTAAGGCGATGAATGAAGGAAACATAAATGTAAGAAAATCATGTGCAACGTAAAAAGACGAATACACAATTATTTTAAATTATAAATTTCCTTCTCAAATAACGTATTAACGAAAAGGCAATGTAATAGTGATCGTAGTTCGTTATCGACATAAAAATCCGTAGTTCAGTAACGGGCTACACTGATACTGATTACAAATAATTATCTTTAAGAAACCCGAGGAAAAATGTACATACGGAAACTTGCAGAATTATTGCCGTGAAAAAGTCATAGGTTGCATTAAATTAAAAAAATAATAATTAAGAATAAATTGAATAGAACTCACCCTTTCGGAAATCCACCTGCAGCTTGTAAACCTGTGTCAGTAGGTCACTATACCGATCCTGCTCATCGACGGACGAAATGGTTCCTGGTTGGTGAGAGCTAGTGCACAGCTGATCGCAGGTACACGTCACTACCGAAAAACGTAGTGACAAATGTGTTCGGGTCAACGCACTGACGGTGTTTATTTCACTGTACGGTCACTAACACTGTCCACTTGTCAGAATCATATTATTTACTTTAAATAGTTTTGTTATTTATCGTGTTGCTTCTACGTTAATTTATTGTTATAGAGAAGTGTGTTGTTCCTACGTTCCTTTATTGTTATAAAGGAATGTGTTGTTTTTACGTTAAGAAAAATACGAAAATATTCGTGCGACGAATACATGTTTCACTGTCATTGAATGTCACGAGATACTGTCTGTGATTTTTCCTAAGGAGCTTCTTCTACCCCCAAAACTACGTGGTCAAACTTTAGGTGGGAATATGTTAGGACCAATGACAATTTAGGACGGTTTTTCGATTGCGGACCGCCTACGTCACGCACCTCGCAAGATGCGAGCGGGCAAAAAACCAATGCACAATAACTGCTTTTCTCAAAACGTCCCTTGAAATCCCATAAATTTACCAACGTGAGTGTCAGCCAGATCTTCCAGGAACAATGTCCTTACTCGCAAGGGAACGCAACATCGAGCTGTTCGCTATCTCTAACTTTCACGCATTTGTTTCACATAAACGTTCCTGTAGGCCATCGATAGCCGAAAGACCCACCGTGGTCTTTAGCGACCGTGCAACGCCAGGTCTGTTTCGTCTCACAGACCCTCCTTCAAGATCGCACGTAGGCTAAGAACCCTTGTAAATTCTCCAACCGTCCCTGAGCTACAAGGTATTGGCTTGCGACTCCACTTGAAAGAAATTGACGCTAACTAACGCACATGTGTTTTGCAAAAGTGCCATCGTACAATTTCACGAGAGAAAGAATTTGTTCAAGAAATACAGCCTTTTGCATTTTATTATTTTCGTGAAAATGGCTCGTGCTTATGAATTTATATCTCGAAAACTATTTATCGTGTTCAGTTCATTCTTATATCGTTTCAATCGAGAAGGATCAACCTTTGTGAATAAATTTCTTTCAAGTTCAAAAATCAGTTTTAAATTCAATTAGGTTCAAAACAATATGAAAGTGTTAATGATAATTTATAATTTACACAAATATAAAATAATAATAATATAATTATAATGTATAGTGTAATTAATAATTAAACAATAAATATTTATACTTTCTTTGTTTTTTATATTTATATTATTTTGTACGTACGGAAATCCAAATTATTTCAATGAGATGAAAAACAATATCGTTAGGAAATCATAAAAGTAAATGATCATAAAGAAAATATGAATAACAATATATTATTATTTTTTTATATTTATGTAAATTATAAAAACAAGGTTGTAATACAAAGGTTGATCCTTCTCGATTGATACGATATAAGAATCAACTGAATACGATAAATAGTTTTCGAGATATAAATTCATAAGCACGAGCCATTTTCACGAAAATAATGAAATGCAAAAGGCTGTATTTCGGCTATCGATGGCCTACAGGAACGTTTATGTGAAACAAATGCGTCAAAGTTAGAGATAGCCAACAGCTCGATGTTGCGTTCCCTTGCGAGTAAGGACATTGTTCCTGGAAGATCTGGCTGGCACTCACGTTGGTAAATTTATGGGATTTCAAGGGTGGTTTTGAGAAAAACAGTTATTGTTCATTGGTTTCTCGCCCCCTCGCATCTTGCGAGGTGCGTGACGTAGGTGGCCTGCCATCGGGAAACCGTCCTATATTGTCATTGGTCCTAACATATTCCCACCTAAAGTTTTACTACGGCGTTTTGGGGATAGAAGAAGCTCCTTAAGAAAAATCACAGACACTATCTCGTGACATTCAGTGACAGTGGAACATGTATTCGTCGCACGAATATTTTGGTATTTTTCTTAACGTAGGAACAACACATTTCTCTATAACAATAAATTAACGTAGAAGCAACACGATAAATGATAAAACTATTTAAAGTAAATAATATAATTCTGACAAGTGGACAGTATTAGTGACCGTACAGTGAAATAAACACCGTCAGTGCGTTGACTCGGCCGCACTTGTCACTACGTTTTTCGGTGGTGCCGTGTACCTGCGATCAGCTGTGCACTAGCTCTCACCAACCAGGAACCATTTCGTCCGTCGATGAGCAGGATCGGTATAGTGACCTACTGACACAGGTTTACAAGCTGCAGGTGGATTTCCGAAAGGGTGAGTTCTATTCAATTTATTATTGATTATTATTTTTTTAATTTAACGTACGTACATTTTTCCTCGGGTTTCTTAAAGACAATTATTTGTAATCAGTATCACTGTAGCCCGTTACTGAACTACGGATTTTTATGTCGATAACGAACTACGATCACTATTACATTACCTTTTCGTTAATACGTTATTTGAGAAGGAAATTTATAATTTAAAATAATTGTGTATTCGTCTTTTTACGTTACACATGGTTTTCTTACATTTATGCTTCATTCATTCATCGCTTTAAATGACAAGCGATAGATGATAAAAAGTTCGATTTGTTATGTTTTTCTTATTTACTATTATACGCGGATTCCTGGGATACATGCCAACTTGTTTGTTC